CTCCTCTAGCATAAAGTGACTAGTCAAGAGTAGTTATTTCAATGTTTATGAATGAAGTTCTTTCTAGAATTTTTATAGGACTTTTTCTGTAAATGTTTTAGAGTTCTTACCTGGTAGGGAAGATAAATTCAAGAACCAGAACAGCAGACCGATGAAAAAATACTTTGAAAAGCTGTCTGCTGCTGCTAAAGTCCTATTGAACTTCGGTCAAAGCACAATGCCTTCCACTCATCCTCTGGTTGTCTTACCTATTCACGTTGCAGTTTCAGTAAATCAGGGATTTTATGCACTATGAGTGTGGTTTTAGCTTACGTTCACCTGGTGAGACTGTGGGCTGCTGATACATGGGTGATCCTCCTCTTTTCCTCCTAACCTTGTATGGGTCTAGTAAACGCACATCATTATTAATTGGATCAGCTTGTTGAACTGTCAGAAAACTAACCCAGCTCCTTCCTTGGCAGACCCCGAGTATGAATAAGGGATTGAGTTGATTCTTCCCTGCAGCAGCACAGTCTCCAGGCTCAATTGAAGGGAAACATCAGGGACACACTGCTGAGAATGGAGAATGAAGAAATGTTTGCAGATTTGACTGGTTGAAGTGCTTATGACACATCCAATCACACATAGCTGCTGTAACTAGTTTCAAAATCACAACCCTGTTTGTGGGTGTTGGATTTGCATTACACAGACTGTGGACTGGGTAGGAAGTTAAATTAATCACATCTCCTGAACGGTGCCCTCCTCCCAGGCTGACAGGTGCAAGCTCAAGAAGGAGCTGCAGACTCCACATCACAGAGACCATACAGGCACTGTTACTATACCATCTTTGTCAAACTTACAAAAAAAAAAAAAAAAAAGTTTGGTTTCACTTGAACAGATAATCCTAAAATGCTGCCTTCATCACTAACTGTAGTCCAAAAAATTTCCTCTCCTTGCCTTCCACATATGTTAAGTGTTATCAGCCACAGAGATTCTCTTAGTGCTCAGTAAGGCTAGAAAAAAGTACAACAAATGAGTAGCCTAGGTTTGGACAATGAAGTCTTAAAAGAGAGAATAATGTATTGCCAAGCATCTGAAGTTTATTACACATAGGTCTCATCAAACGAAGTGAACTTTCTGTGAGTCTCAAGTTTGCCTGCTAAGTGAAATAGTATTAATGTAATAGATTGCTACTGATCTTACTATGAAAAAAGTCCTTGATTAAGATTTAATACACCTAAAAGAAACTGTGGGATAATGAGTAGATTAAATTGAAACTATATATATAAGGACAGTTTTTAAATTACAGTGCTGAACCTGAATGCTGAGGACAAAGAAGCTGAACTGTACAACAATCAGTATTTATTGATACCAGTTCAACCAAGAATGAACAACAGCCAGCAATAATTTGATGTAATGATCAATAATAGTAAAAAAATTCTCAAAATTTTAGAGCATTAGTTAAATAGAGAATTTTTGCAAGAGCTAACACAACAAAAGTAGTCATTTCTGTTTATATTAATTTGCTTTTGATGTTCCATGTAGCTAATTTTGATGTTTTTAATAATTTAAAAAAGTAGTTTGATTTCCTCTGAATCTGAAGCAGGAAAGTTTTAAAATGAAGTCCCATTAATTTTGTCTTTACATTGCTACAGGAAAGGTTTACCATTCAGTAGTGCACATACTACTGCTATTCTAGTAAGCATTTAAGCAAGAGTGAGGAAGCCACAGTTGTCCTGAAGTGTACAGCAATTTTGCTAAGGATTTACATGGAATAAAGATGTTGTTTTGAATTTTTGCCTCTAAAAAATTATATGCTGATTGATACAGAAACATTTAGCTATCTACATATAAAAATGGCTCTCACTAGGTACACACTTACATATTATCAGTATTTAAGCATCTTCTTATTTTTATGAAAAATGAGTATCATTATGAAAAAAGTATTCTATATTTTTCAATGTGTTCTATAGCTTCTTAAATTACTTTTAAATAATATGGGTTTTAATAGCTTTGTTTCCTGACTTTTTTTTTTCCAAATAATACAAATAGAGATTTTATTCTTTTTCCCATATGATGAAACAGCATTTCCAGTGTGATCATAGTGAGATTGCATAGAGTCTTTTGTAGCTATTGAATATTATTTAAACCAACATTTCTCAGTTTCTCAATTCATGCACTTCACTTTTGCTAAGTACCCTTCAGCTTCACAGTGATTAATGTTTTCCATGCTGCCTATCAACATATTTATAAAAACAAGAGTATGTTTTATTTACAGCAAAGATGTGATGGAGGTGAGTCATAAAAGAAGAGAAATTCTATGTTAAGAAAATCCTAACAGAGCAAAGGCATGAAGATCCATGAGGCACCTAACTGATGTATCCAAGTGCCCTTCATGTCTGAAAATCTGCTCTGAATGCATCCTACTTAGTAGAACAGCATTGCTTCCATCAAAGGAATCAATTTCTTTTCTGGAGCAAAATTTGATAACCAGCTAAAGACTCATTTTTACCCACAAAAGAGACTATGTTTGTGTATTCACTATGTAAGCACGTTTTGCAAACATATTAACCTCCCTTTTTTCTAAAAAAATAGCCTTATTTATCAGTTTCAGCTGAAAAACCTCAATCCTGGGGTTTAAGATTATATCATTCTTAGTGTTGTCTTCACTGGTGTTGATTTTAGTGGTGTATTGAGGAGCACATTCAAATCCACTACATTTGCGGTGGAAAGAAGATGCTGCTGTGTTATTTTACATCAGTAATAATTTCCAGCTTTGAAACAACACATTGCATATTCATCACTGCTCTTTTCTTTTATAAAGTTCCTGCATGAAAGGAATGAGAGCTGTGATACGATCTTCAGCATGTCCAGGTTGTAGTCACTGAGATATTCTTTTAATTTTCTTTTAAAAGATGCCTCCGGTCACATAATTCTAGAGCAGAGTAGTATGACTGAAAAGAGTTTTGCTACGCTATAATCAACGGTGACTAAATTTACTGCTCCATAAATAAAAAGTATTGAAATGTTTAAGGGACCTGTAAAGCTTTTTGGATGAAGAAGGCTTATACAAAGCATCATTCAGTTACTACTGCAACTCTGTCTTTGGTCACCAACTAGCAGAGAGAGAGACTGACAGGATATTTCCTCACTGTTTTGCATACTGAAAACAACCTGCACACCCAATCATTTTCTGAGGATCTTTCACCTTTTTTGAATCTCGTTCTCATATTTTTTAAATGTTCAAGGTACTTCATGTGACGAATTTGACAAACTTACTTCTGAAGAACAACCCACATTTAACGAACTGACTGTAAAGGCTCCTCACATTTAAGTGTCACCCATATTTCAGTGCGGTCTACACTTGCATAGACATCTTCATATATGTTCTCAGGATGTTTCTGAAAGTTATTGCAAAGGCACAGTAGGCTATTTCATAATGAATGCAATGCCATTTCAGGATCTTACAGTGATCTGACTTGCGATCAAGGCCTCATTGAAAATGTGTAGTGTAGGCAGAGGGCTTTTCCACCCTGCTTTGCCAGTCAGCTTCGCCTCTACTGAGAGATCAGTGCGTGTGTAAAGAACTGCAGTTGAAAGATCTGACTTCATTGAGAAAGTAGGTTTCAGATACAACAGAACTTTTAATGTCAGTATTTTATTATTTGTTTAGGTAAGAGTAATAAAACGGTATTTTGCCAAATTGTAGAGGTTGGTACTGTTGAATTCTATTGGATAGATAAGATTCTTCATTTTAGAGAAGAAACATCTTTAAATGTGCATGTTTAGAGTGCATTTAGAAACAAGTCTATTGACCTATCCACTTTAGAAAGCAACTCATTCTATATCAGTATGTAACAGATGTCAGTTATTGATAGGTTTAATTTGCAAGTAATGAAGACCATGTTTGAACTTGTGACCTAAATGTGAAAAGTTCCATATGTACCTCTGTAAGTTATCTAGATTTAAATACTGTTTCTGCAACAATAGGAAATTTTATTCCAGAAGGCTGTGAACAATGTTGCTTGACTGAAGTCTCCTTGGGTTTTATTTATTTTATTTGAGCTTTATAAATATAATAAATATGGGTTAAAATTGTTTACAAACTATGTTCAATTAAAACTAGGAGCTGCAGGTGCACCCTCTAATGATAAGATCTCTAGAAACAAGAATATCGGGGCAACTCTTGATGTAGCTGAGAGTACACTGTGTAACGATAAGCACATGAGAAATGAGAATACTGTAGCAGCCACGGATCTAGCTGAAGTCAGTGGGAGTTAAGAAATCAAGAGAAATTGCTCATGGCTTCACAGGCACAGCCTCACAATGCTGAAGTAAATGTGGATCTTTTCTGTGAACTGTAAGGAAAGGACAATCAAAGCCTGACTAGAACGGCTGAGCTGGCATTGTGAAATCTGCTGACATCCTGCAACCATACATTCATTTTAGGGGTCAGGGTCGTTTGTTTACTTTTAATATGCTTTTGCCCATTAATCAAGTATTTATTCTGCTTTTATGCATGTTTTTAAAAGGATATTCCTAAGAAGAGGATGGAAAAGAATCCATTTTACCTTTTCCATAACTAAGGAAATGGCTGCAACATTTAAAGCCGAAAGGAACACTTGGCCGCTGCACAGAAAGTAGACCAACATTAATTTCTAGGCACACCTGCTACTCCTGTTTTTAGACATTTTTAAATTTAATATAATCCCTTGCAGTGAACATTCTGAGTTACACTGTGCACCCTTTTATGTGGTCTAATGAACTAAGTATGATTCTTGATGTCTAACCAACTTTTATTTTTAGGTTTTTCAATAAAATTCTAGCTACATCTGTATGCTTAATCCTCATATAACTCTAACAGGAGCTGGCTGATGAAAAAATGCGAAGTAATATTACCTCTTAAGTTTTCAAAAATATTTATGCTTGTGAAAGTTAAGAGTAAGTCATCTTCTAATTCCTTTTCACTTTTTTTATTCCATCTTCTATTTCCCCTTAAAGATAACAAAATAAACTACAGCTTCTTTTCCTTTTCAGTAGTCCTGCTTAAGAGCAATAAAATTCTGAGAAATAGAATTGTTTATTTTTAAATTACCAGTTTTATATTTGAAAGTTTGGGGGTAAACTTTTGTCATGAACTCTACTCTGAAAAAAGCAGTTTAAGTGCAATGTTTTGTGGACCAGTTTCACTCCCTCAAACAGGGAAACCAGAAAATAGAGATAGAGCAACACACGCCTTTGCCACAATCTCAGTCAAATCACACAAATCTCATTTGATCCTTCAGACTTATGGCAAACCCATGACCAGAAGTTCAAAATGTTTAAGTATAGTAAAGTGATATTTGGAGTGGTTTTGGTTTGTCTTCAGCACTTTCTTTGCCAAATGCTTGTCTCTTGGTGAGCTCTATACTCCTTGGGTCAGTTGTGAGTACTGAAGTAAGGGCTGCAAAGCCAAGCTCATGAGCTGCACTCTAAAGGATGATTCAGATAATGAATATACTTAAGTTGGCTACAGGGCAGAATATAATGTTCCAAATAAAAATATACTTTTTATTTTATTTTTTTTAAGAGTGTTACACCTGTAGCCATAAAAATTCTTACTGGATGTATACTTTACATTTTAACAGAAAAAACTTTACAAGTTGAAGAAGGAAATCTCTGTGAAGTTTCTGCTCTTCTGTTTTAAGAAAAAAACATGACCATAGCCTTCTATATATATTATTTTGATGAACTAGTATGGGGAAACAGATGAAATAAGCCTGTATGTACACCGGTGCATTGGCTTTGAGAGTACTGACTGAGTACTTGTCTTTGTTAGCTATGTCCTGCTTCAGGTCAGTCCTCTGTGCCAAGAAATTCAGACTGGTTCTGTCAACAGTGATTATACAGATGAGACCTGAGCTGGGACAAGTTCTCCACCTTGTCTATCTTTCTGCAACTCCAGATGTACATGACTCAATGCAGACATGAAATAAGTTACAAGCGAGTGCACAGGCAATACGGGCAATCAATGAGTAAGATGCCTCGGCTGAGCGAACTGTACAGAGCTGCTTGCAGCTAACTATAGTCATGATTTATTGTGCATCTTCGTCAACAAGAAAAGTGGTATTTTATTTCCCTGACTTTAACAGAAATCAATTTGTGAGGCCCAATTTACTCCGACTTTATTCAGCTTTTGGTCCATAAGCAATTAAAATGACTCCTCCCTTTCTCCATTACTCAGCAGATTAGAAGTTAGTCCTCTTGTGCTGTTATTAGATATGTCATTTTGCTATCCTCTGTTGTCTATGATAATATGTTAGAAAACTTTGATCTAAGTAAATATTGAGCTGTGCTCTTGCTAGAAAAATGAACAACCTGTATAATCAACTGAAAATTTTGTAATGAATTTACTTTCAGGTGTTCATCAATAATTTTAAAATATATTTCCTCTTGAAATGAAATAAAATTTAAAAAGCAAGAGTGACACTCTAAATATGTGTATTTTAGAAAAAAAATCCCCAAGTACATAAGCACTGTTTTTTCAGGCATGAGCATAACAGATATAGTATATCACAACATAACCACAGTATGAAGTAGAAGCAATAGCAGTATTCTGATTAAAATGTAGCACATTAGTTATATATATCTTTCATGGATGGTTTTTTAGTAGCTATAATGAGGTTTTAATGCCATCTATACCTTAAACTGATTTCAGTTGTGCCAGTAAACCATGCCAATTTAACTTCAATCTGAGATAGAGAGTTTATGTGTGTGAAAGAACTTCCTGCACACTTCATGTGAAAGAACTTCCTGCACACTTCAGCTCATTTTGGTGGCTTTTTTTTTTGCTACTATTAAACTGGAGGGACAAGTCCCTTGAAAAAAAAAGGGAAAAAACCCCAACCAACTTTGAAAATATTTGCATAAATTAACTTCTATAATGGAAATGGAATTTGCCAACAGAAAATGTGCAAGAATCTATGAGAAAACAAAGTGGAACTACAGTATCAAAAAACTATATGTGATGATTTGATATAAAGATTTCTAATACATATTATAACAGAGGAATATAAATATACAATATTATCTAAAATACAAATAAAGGAATATTTAAAATCCACATAATAAAAAAAGATTTCAGGAATTAAAAAAATCAGAAAATTAAGCCATAGTTACAAAAAATTATCAGCAATCTAGAGTGATTTTGTATAAATTGTTTTCCTTAAAAGCATATGTTGTCCCAAGGCCATTTGAACATTTGCCATCCAAAAGATCAAGTTCCTGTAAAGCATTACAATAATTTGAAAATTTTAATAAAATTATGAGAAATGCCCTTTCTGAAATATACTTAACAAAACTGGAAAAGAAGGCATTTGCAATGCAATTAAAATGCAATCACATACACTTACTCACCTGCAAAGAGCAATAAGAAGACAAAGGCATTAACTTCCTGCTGCAATTCAAGCCCAAGAGCCAAGGCCAGAGTAGTTGTTACAAGATGATGATAACCTATGCCAGGCAAGTAGGTAGCAATAAGATAAAAATAGATATGATAAACATAACATTGGCTTTGTTGTCTATGAACACTCATACTTTAGGTTTCTGACTTGTCCCTCTGAAGTACAGATTTGTATAAATACATTTTGGTCTTAAAAGTTGTGAAATTATTTGTAATCATGCTTCTGAGTACAACAAATGAGAAAAAAAAGACGTAAGCATATAAAAATAGAGAACTCATCAACATGTAGACCTCAAAGTAATTAGAACTGGGTGTGGAGCTCCTGATTTTAGAAGCTCCCACATATAAGGACACCAGATATGAAAGATTTAAATTTTTTATTACTAAAACCAAATTTATAGTTCTCATCATTTTAAACAAAAGCTAGCAACTGTAAGGCAAGTCTGATAGGTGATACATACAGAGAGCAATAAAACAAGATGTCCGAATGTATGAACAGCCCAATTTAGTTCAATATGTGTTTTTAAGCCAAGCACAAATTGATCTGAGTGATCCTCCTTCATCTGCCATTCTCTTCATCTGCCATCCAAGATGCAACACCAGTAGCACACTTCTGTGAGTTCAGACTTGGTGATAAATTGTTGGTCTTACTGGGGTATGGCTGTTTGCTGCCACATTTCAATGGGGAAAAGTCTATCCCGAACATGAAGCTATATGCTAAGACTGAGACAAGCAAACAGCACACTGGTAACCTCAACTGGTTGCACACTGCAACCCTCAATCCTCCTTCCATTTCCTCTAATACTACTCCAAATACACAAACTACCTCTTTTATTTGTGTAGGCTGCGATACTCACCTCATAACAGGTTGAACTACATCAGCTACTTATCCAGCTGGAAAGTACTGTTTGGTTTTGTTTATTCAGTTTGCATATCTGCCTTGAAAGATCCTGGTTTCTCATAAACTGCTTAAAACTATCTGAAAATGCGGTTCTTGTGAACTCTTACAGCAAGAGATGACACTTTCTAAATGAAAGGAGTGAGAAATAAGGCATCTATTCTACTTTATGTCATGATTTATTGTTAGGTAAATGAACTTTGCTACCTGAACTACCTTTTGCTATCTAGAGGACTCCAATGAGGACTGGAATCACTATGAAAAAAATGAAAGGTGTGTATGGGCAGGAAGAGGGAAGGAGATGGAGAGAAAATGAGCAAGGTCACTACTCGGAGTAGCGATGCTAATTTAAGCCATATTTAACATTATCCCTCGTGAGAAAGTTAAGATATGGAAGACAAACTGGGGGAAAAAGCTACCAAGTGTTTTGCATTACTTTCCTTCAGCCTTCCTGTAAGGTTGTCTGTCAGCCCCATTTCTGCAAAAAGCTAAGTTGTTTGGTTGATAAGACTGACAAGGGGCAGTTTCAGACACATGGAAACCTTTGGTCAACATATGGGCTGGAAAATCTCATTTCTTTTAACAGTGTAGGAGGTTGTAGAATAAGATTTTTAAGACCGTTTTGAAAATTTGTCTCATATGCAATATAGACTACTGCAGAAGTTGTCTATGGTAAAAGCTAGCTGAGGGTGGAAAAACATTTTTAGCCCAGATGGCTTCTTCACATACTGCTATTGTCCTGCAACTGCTGCTGAAAACACTGCTGAAGTTACTACTACATATACGTGTCAATCAAGAGTATTGGCTGGATCCTTAGCATAATTACTTGTTCAAATGCATGTATCAAAAGGAAAAGGAGGCCTGAGAAGAAGGTAAGAACATACACATAAAGAAAAGCTCTTTGTTTGAGGAAATGACTGAACTGCTGAAAAATTAAACCAAAACTTTCCCAGTCAGGGCCATTTTTGCTTACTTGGCTCTCTCCTATTCCTCTTTTTGACAAGGTTGCTAAACTTACAACAGTTCATCTAGGAAAGAAGGAACCAACTGTGTTTTTTAAAAAAAAAAAAAAACAAAACAAAAAGCAAGCTAGTCTTTTGTTATTTATTTAATTTTGTTCCTTTCTTTGAACACTGCTGCCAACCTACAAAGTCACTGGTATTTTTCATACCAACAGTATTGACTTAACAAACAAAAATTAAAATCCATAAGGTTTCCAAAATGATCCACTTGAAGCTATTCTTAGCTTTGTTTGTTATACACCACTGACAACATGTAATCATAATTGTAAAACAGTTTTAATAAAAAACACTTAACAAAAACATAAATCATTCTACACATAAATGAAAAAGCCAAACTTTATATTTGAAAAAAATAATTTCTTTTTGCAACTCTGATTAGAGTTATCATCTCCTGAAATGGTCCTGGACTGTCAGAAACTGAGGTTGATCAGATGAAGAATAGGAGCCTTGGCTGAGACTCAAGAAAAGCCTTTAAGTCTTGATAAATGCCTGAGATACAAAAATGTAAAAGAAATCAGGACACATTCTGACCTCAAATAACCTTGGTAATTAAACAATTCACTGACCTCAACGCACAAATACCTTTGATCTCAGTAGAAGAATTCAAGTAGAAGTTGTATGAATATTCTCATAATCTTGAGTTTCAACAGATTGTTTTTAACCTTGAAATCAGTAGTTTCATAACGAGTCATACAAATAATCTCACTGACTCTCATGTGACTACATAGGTAAGCAAATTATGCATATCTTTGCAACTCAGATACTGCGTTTGCATGAGTTATATACCACAAGAAGGAAAGAAAGGTAGTATTTTACTATCTCCATATCAGTCTCCATATCAGCAAATACAACTTGTGACAACTTTTAAGAGCCACACTGTCCACAGATTTTAATTCTTCACCCTCTGCTAGTCACTTCCGTCAGTCTGACACATCCTAAACTAAGAATTGTTTTGTTGCTCTCGACTTAGCACTTTATTTTTAAAAAACAGAGAATAAGCAAGCGAGGCAGCCTGCTTGGCTGAAGTTGCTGCTGCACAGCTGATGTGCCTGAAGTTTAGTGTCACTTTTCTCGTGGAGATATCTGTGAAGCAAAGCACAAAAATAATATGCCTGTTCTGGCGCGTCGGTTCCACGCCAGAGGAGGTGTAAGCGAAGGTGAAACGGAGGAGAGCGGAGGGGGAGACAACCTCCCCTCTTCCCTCCCTGCCCAGCGCAGCCTCCAGGGCGGGGGGCGGCGGAGGGGACCCCTCTGGCCGGGCGCTACCACCGAGGGGCTGCCCCTCGCCAGAACGAAAAGGGGCGGTAGGTCCCTATGAACTTTATTGATGAGCTTCTGTCGCCCAGGGCGCAGCGGTCACACACTAGAGCGGGTGGGGGAGGGAGGAAAGGGCCGTGGCTAACAAAGCCCGACCGCCTTCCTCCCTCGCTCCCAGCGCGGCTCCCAGCCGCCCCCGCGGGTCTTCCGCGGCCCGCCGAAGCGCCTGAACGAGCTCGGCAGTGAGGCGCCCAGGGCCGGCGAAAGAAAGCGGCGCCCGGGCGGTGGAGGGCCGGTGGTGTCCGGCGGGGAGGCTGGGGGCGGCCCGTAGGGGACCGACATAGGCTGGATTGCATCCCGGCCCTGCCCCTGCCACCCGCCGCGGCCGTTGTGCGCGGGCCGCGCCAAGCCGCTACCGAGCCTGCAGAAGAGAGCGACGGCACCATGCGCGGGCTCGCCGGCCCCCTCCGGCGACCCCTCCGAGGACGGAGGGGTGGGGCCAGAGGCAGGCCGGAGGAAGCGGGCGGCGGCGGCCAAGGAAACAGGGAGGCGGCGGCGCACGGCGAGGGAGGGAGCACAGAGCTCGAGCCGGGCCGGGCCCCGCGAAAGCAAACAGCAGAGCCAGCCTCCTCCTTCTCCTCCTCCTCCTCGCCCGTGAACAGCTACCGCTTCCGCCGCCCCGGGCAGGACTGCCTCGCCGCCCGAGCCGGGTGCCGGCGCAGGCCGGGCGCAGAGGTGCCCGAGGAGAGCCCGCGCTGGAGCGCGGATCATGAGCGCGGCCTCCGCCTGCGGTGAGCGTCCCCGGGCGCAACGGCACCCGCCTCCCCCGCCCGGCCCCGGCGGCCGCGGGGGGGGCTGGTGCGGTGCACGGCGAGCCGGAGGAAGGGGCTGGCGCCGCGTTCGCGGCTTGTCCCGCCGCCCCTCCTCCCGAGCCGCGGCCCGGCACTCCTCTCCCTTTGTTTGCTCGGCTCCCCGAGGCCCGCCGCCAGCCGCGTGCCATGCGCCCCAAGAGGCACCGGAGGCCGCTCGGCGCGGAGCGCTGCAGGGCGCGGCGGGAAGCGGCCTCCGGGGCCCCGGGCGGCGAGGTGTTGCCCGGCCTCCCGGCGGGACAGGACGGAGGGCCCGGCTATGGTTCTCACCGCACCAGTCCTCGGCGGGGCCGCCGACGGCTCCCCCACCCTCCCCTGGGCCGCTGCCCGAACGCACCCCGCGCCTGCCGGTGCCATTATCGAGGGCGGCGGAATTGGGCTGTTTTCCCCTTAGCCCGCCTTGGGACCCGCCTTCCGTCTGCGGCTTTGGGGGGGTCCCTGTCTCCGGCGGGGCGGGTGTGCGGAGGTGTCGATTTGGGCTGCCGGTGCTGGGGCTGGTGCGGCGGCGGAGCAGCCGCGGGTGTTGCGAGGTGAGGGTGCGCCAAGGGCTCCCGGAGGGGCGAGCGAGAGAAAGGCGCCTTTCTGTGACAGGCACCACTTAAAAACTTGGCTTAAACAAAAAGCAGCATCAAATCCCAAAACTTTACTCGCTTTCGTGGTTCTTCAAGCTGCTTCTTACACTCTCTTTCCCTAATGATGCCCCTTCTCTCAGTAAACACCTGGTCCTGGCCCGTGCCAACCCGATTGCTTAAGAAAAAAGCCTTTACAAAACAACGATGTTTTTGAGAGGTGCAGAGGATGATGCTTCTGTGATGTGAGGTATTTTGTCTGTCCTGTCTTCTTTTTTCTTTTATTTTCCTATGTTTTCAAAATCATCTTAGTTTGGAGCATGATTTTTTTGTGGAGTAGCTTACTGAGTTAAAGAAGTTGGTCACAGGATATACTTCAGTCAGGGAAAGTTTCTCTTTCACTTAATAAATTCTTGTGCCCTTTTACCGTTAGGTCTCAGCCCCTCTTTTCTACCTGCCAGGAACGTTTACACCATGTCCAGCCTCTTAATACACCTGTGGTTAAAAAATGTGTGCTGCAGGCCTCCTGTCTTAGAGAGCTGATGTCGGCACAAGCTTGAGGAATAAGGCATTTCTGCTCTGGATGAAAAAATAGCACTAGTTTTGTTTTATGCTAACAACCACATCTTTGGATTGTAGAAAATATGGAAGCTTTGGTGTAGTTACGAAATAAATTACTTAATGTCACAGCTTGGCTGGAAGACTTTAAACCACTGGAGAATGTGTAGGTATTTTTGGAGTTTTCTGCAGTAAGGCGGTAGTCATAACTCACAGTTTTATGTGTAACTTATGAAAGGCAAATTTCAGCTTTTTCAAAATGCTTGATTTTATGAAGTGTTAAACAATACTTGAATGGAGTCTTCACTTCCACTTTGATATTCCTTGGATTTGTGGCATTGCACTGTGTTTGGAACTGAGCTTTTACTTAAAACAGATTCATCTGTTGTATGCTATATCAGGCATGTATCCCCTATATCCTGAGTTTTGAGATGTAAGTAGATTTTTTTTAAATTAAAATTTAATGAAATTAAGCCTTAATATTTAAAAGTATGAATAATAACAGTATAGTGTTATATGGAGATACCTACACTGGCTAAGCTAGAGGGCTATGGAGTAGAAAGGGAGAAGCACTGGGTCGTTTCCAGAGGTTTTGTGAGCATCACTTCATGGCATTCCGTGTATACAGCATCAAAGTGTTTGCATGGATTTGGGAGACATGATGGGTAATTCTAAACTTCATGAGAACTTGACATACCGATATCTATAAAATCTGCGTATTAACTTCTTTGATCCTAGCTTGTGCAGTTGGTTGGTAACCTTCAGTTAGTCTTGGAGAGGGATGGTTTGAAGAAATGGTAACTAGTCTGCATTGTTCTGCAAGTAGATAACAAGTCATAACTCTCCCTGGTACAGTGAAGTGGTGGAGTGAGACAGTGAACTCTTAACTAAAAGTTTTTCTTATGAAGCAAGTTAATTATTTCTTCTCTTTCTTATGAAATTTTCTATAGTGATAGAGAAATTTGAACATAAATGTTTGAAAGGCTTCATTTGGTAGCCTTGCCCTGAGTTCACTACATATTTGCTCTGCTATTGTTGGCAAAACTGAGGCCACAGTCCAGGGTAATCCCTTACTCAAGTGCCTTATTTGCTGTCACTTTACTACCCTCCTGGGACTACAGAGCACTATTTTGGTAGTGTTTGGGTAGCACAATGTGATAACATAAAGTAGATAGAAAGGAGACTGTTCTCTGCTGGTGTGTCTCTCAGTGTTTTGTTGACAGGGCTTTAATGTGTGTTAGCAATAATTTAGGGGGGATAGCTTGAGCAGTCGTGATGCTCCAAGGAGAAAAATAAGATACAAGTAGTATAAAAGTGAATTTAATCTAATTTAGGAATGCAAATGCTAAAATATATTGAGTATAAGTTGGATAGAATTTGGACTGAAAAACAGAATGGAAATTTGTTATACGACTTAACTGTGTGTTTTGTACTGTCAAGTAGTAAACTGAAAAGAAATATGAAACTTAGAGTTTCCTCTTTTTTATGTTTTTTATTTTTCAGAAGAGAAATAATTATATCTGTAATGTTCCTTATCCTTATGTTTATTCCAAAATCTGATTTCATTCCATTTTAGTGTACACTTAATTTTTTGGAAATAAATACCAATCTTCAGAAGACAGTAGTTATACTTGATGCAAAGGCCCCAAGTTTTCACAGCCTTGGTCCTGATGCCTCCCAATCAATTTGTAGTAGCAGACAAGGAAGTATTCTTGTAAGAAAATAATTCTTGAAATTTTTTGTCAGCCATTTCAGATGACAAGTTACATACAGCAGTATGTTTTTTTAGAAAAGAAGAAGATTGTGCTTGTAATGGGATATTTATTGTCCAGGTTTAAAAAGCAGCTTCATACCACTCAAATATGTTTTTGATACAGCAGTATATAAACATTCATGAAACACAATAGGTTCCTTCTTTTATTATTATTTTTGCTTTTTCCTCTGGAAATAATTGATTTCTGAATTAAAACACTGTACTATGCAAGTTGAATAAATTTCTGGGTTAAAAATAGTTACATTACTTTTGAAATAAACATTTAAAAACTCACAGCTTTGGGGTTTTTGTTGCAGTAGGTTTTTCCCCCACAGTAGCTGAATGATCTTAGGCTACTGACACAAAAACCTGACACCTCCTTCAGCCTCTCCTGGTGATTAAAACCAAAACCAAAACCAGCTGACCTTGAATTATTGCCCTGGATGAAAATGGAAACCTGACTGTATGTAAAGTGCTGACTGATATGTCAAATATATGAAGAAGGGTACACAAACTTTGCTAGAGTCTCCACAGATTGAATTGAAAAAGGCCACATGGAGCAGAATCGGGCTTAGTCTACTTTTTGTGAAAATTAACTTTCAGATCAAAGCATTAGAAATTTAGTTCTCTGCTTCCTTAAGCTCGCTAAAATAAAAGTTGCTCCTACTATTTTCTTTTGCCAGTTTTCATGGTCTTCTGACTCCTGCTTTTGTCATGTACAGGCATGCAAACAAGAAGCATCTGCAACTCCAGACAATTTCAAAAAGCTTTGAGGTGTATGGCTTTGCAAATCTGACTGCTATTCATTAGTCTGTAATGTGGATTTAAGAACCTATCTTTACATATTTTTATTATTATAAAGATTAATAAACTGTTATCTCTCATGAAATTTTCTTCTGGAAAATATTAAGATAAAATACTTCGGAAATTATTGGTCCTTTTCTGTGTCCTTAACTGTTCACATAACACTTTGGGCTCTGAGGAACTCAGTTGGCTTCATTTATGACAAGGATGTAAGCCACATGTTACCTAAAAAATTCTTCCTTGCTTGCTACATCACCAAAAAAACTGTGTAAGTTAAATGTAAGTCTTTATTTGTTTAGCATGGATGTGGGGACATTGGCTGACTTGTTCTACCTCTGACTTTATACGCTACTGAAGGAATTTGAAAAAAAAGTCTTCTTGCTTGTAGGATGCTGTATATTGGTATCTTGCTAAGGATGCTGTATATTGGCATTTCTGTCCAGGTGCTGCTCCCCTAACATTGCTTCTTTTTGCGTATATATAGGGCACATAGAAAGCCTCTCATGCTCTGTCTTCTGTGAAACATTCTTTTTGTAATGTGCCAAGTGCAATAGATTGGCAGTTTAAAAAATTCTCAGGTTTGTAAAGTGTGTGAGTTTTTGTTATCAACACTAAATAATCATACCGTAAACTGCTGTAAAATAGTTTTGCATGAGAACCATTTTCTCTGGCAGTGAAGGTATAAATAATGGATGTTAGTGATTTTTTTCAGAGTTCATTAAGTGTTTGGTAGTTAAAAATTTAAACAATGAAAATGAACCTGTGTGTATTGTTAAGTAAATCATACAGATATGTGGTATTTTTCTTTGTTTCTCAGTGCAGTGTATAATCAGAAACTGTCTTTGTATCATATATATGATACTGAACTGTAAGTGGAGTTGTATAAGGTTTTCATGGTCTTGAGTTAATGTGGTGAATGCATCTGGCAGATAAATTGATTGATTAATTTTAGCATTTGAGATTGCAGACTTAATAACTTTGGTATTTTTCCTCAAGGATATTTTGTATTGCTTAAAACAGTACATTGAGTTCTACTCTGGATGACAAAATTGTTGGAAATGAGGTTCCAGTCAGGCTTAGTTTTACAGTGTGTGATCTCTTGTTTTTCTTCAGTAGTTTTATTCTTAATTAGTCTTGACGTTTTCTGGTAAATGTGCTAAAACAGTAGTTTTGTAGGAGTCTTGAGTAGGTGATTGTTTTTCCTTTTCCAAAGCAGTCTGCATTCCTCAAATATGTTGAGAACATAATAGTAAGCTATTCCAAATGTTTCTGAAACATATTTGGTCCCAAGATGTCTCCAATACAGTGGTCAAGCTTGCTTTCTCTCTTTGTTCCTTCTGATTTAGGGAGTCCTGTCTTCCCTGGCTTTGCCTCAGTAAGTGCTACAGAACTGGGCAATTACAAACTGTAATGTCGACTATGTTTTTGGCATCAGTAATGGGTTTTAATACCCTTGGAATCCCTTTGGGTTGGTAATCAGGTATCAGATTAAGAGTTTTGATAAAACAGAGAAACAGAAATGAATGGCATCAGGGTAAAGGTTTTTGATTACAGAAGTTGTGCCTTCGAGGATGAGATATATGGAAGCTGTACTCCAAAAACAGGGTAGGCAGCTTTTCAGATTGATGTTCTTTCAGGAGCCGGTGGGAACTGAGCAAGTGAGGAATTCTCTCTGTATTCAATGAACAGAAGCTATTTGTGCAGGAATACCGGTTTGGGTGAAACCTGTGCTAGGGAAGATTTCCAAGCTGGAATTTTGGT